AAATGAACTCTTCCAAGAATTACAAGAGAAAGTTGTCTGTTATCGAGACTGCAGAGAGGGGGGGGGGACCCGTCAACTATTTTCCTCCGGGTCAAACAGCTTCAAAGATGAGACTGAGAGACTGTCATCTTCGTGTTCAGGGCAATTCCCTGATCGGGTAAGAACAAGGCGGCATTGGGCGATGTCTGCAGTTGATCATCACATCGTTTCATGGCTGAGTAATAATGAGCGGCAGGAAGAAGTGAAAAGGTAGCTGTAGGTCCAGTGTACTACTACATAACTACAATGTACTGTACTAAGTAGGTAGTTTAGGTGCAACACCCTCCCGTTGTTGAGTTGGATTCGTATCCATGTATGTACCTACAGTAGCGCCATACCGATCCATTACCACTAATCATGCAAGATTCGATACATGACCCCGCAGGCTGACAGTGGGGCAGCACTCAATTGACACTCAGTTGCAGGGGTGACTAAGCTTATGTCCCGCCTAAGTCCGATTGCTCTTGCCGCTCTGGGTAGGATTGGCGATCAGTGGGCTGCAGAGTGACAGTACCATACCGTAACGGAAGTATGAAACACTGGCAGCTTATCTTCCTTCCTTCCTTCAGATTGTTGTTCATCAATAGAGACTCCAAGACTCGCTCCAGGCTTGCTAAGCAAGCGAATAATTGACTTTGGAGTCAGCCTCAAGGGTTTACGAGCAATCAGTCAACCCAGCACTGTCCTTTGTCCTTTCCGCCGCGCCCCCCCCTTCAGTCGTCTACTGTCTCCTTCTCCTCTATTCCTCTTCTTCGATGCTCATCTGCAAGACTTTTCCTTTCCTCTACATCTGAACACTCGCAATCATGGCCTTGGGACAATACTTCCGGTCTGACTTTACTGTATTCCCTAGCTACCTTGCCTTTCGAACGACTGGGAATGACTTCAGGTCTTCCCATGGATATGTACTCTCGCCAGCTGTCCAGGATGCTCAGACCCAGCTCCGCAAAGAACTCTAGCTGTTGCCCGTCCCATGGTTTCAGCAGACTTTGAGAACTCGCCAGACCTCCCCCCACCCCCCCTCCGGGGAGAGTCCCAGCCTTGGCTATGGTTGCTCTCTGGCTGATCCTGTCTGGACTCGGGCGTCTCTTCGCCTGTCAGCTTGGGATTCCCCAGCTTGCATTTCCGGTAGTCAAGTACAGTAGGTTCTCGGCCTGAACCACTCCGTTGTCCGCTTTGCAGCGTAGGATGCCCCTCCTTGGCAACCATCTATTTAATTTCTCCTGCTGGCTGCTCTTTACAACTTTTTTTTCTTTATCTTATTTCTAGCCCTGCTCTGGACGAGGTATCACCCGTCTATCGTTGTCTATTCTTCTTCAGCCCCAGGGCTCCTGTATCTATCTCTACAGCCTTCATCTAACTGCAGTATTGCTCTCGGCTTACATTTACCACCCCACACAGTTTTACTTTCCCTGACTCTCAAAAACTGCTTTAAAATGGGATCTCCTGGCATCGACCTCGATGTCGCCCCAAATCCTCGCACGAAAGAGGAGAATCAGGAACGGTAAGTACCACCGACTTCAAGAGGCTTGTTCTATGCTGATTGATTGCAGAGCGTTCATTGCAGCTTCGAGACGGAAAGATAGAAGCCTCGATGCCCGCGTGGAGTCGGCCAACCGGGCCTCCAGCCTGCACAAGCAACGCACTGGCAAGGCTCTTCTCATCAGCAGAGACATTGTGGAGCGAGAGGCAATGTACGAAGAGGTGGATGACCGCTACCAAGAGAAGATCAACCGGATGCTGCATGCTCAGTCCATGCAGCTACATGCCGAATTTAACCGGAACCTAATGGCCGCCTGGCATGGTGCGCGTCCCGGCGGTGGTCTGCATCAGCGGCGAGCTGCAAGTGCACATATGAACCCGCGCGCTTCGATCAACGGCATACGCAAAATGAGCCTTGATCTGTCCGGGCTGCGATCTTCCATCGCAGAGGACTGCAGGGTGCAACCCGGACCAATGACTAGTCCGCTGTCGGCAAACCCTAGCAGCTACGTGCTCTCCCCTAATTTGGACGGGACTGCGCAGTCGCCGTCGTATCCCAACGTTGTTCCTGCTTCGGCGGGCCAAGTGCCATCCTACATTGCCCAGGCGGGCGGACCCACCTGGTCCCCCGTTGCCCACCAGCAGCAGCAACTCGGCCCGCAGCAGCCCTTCCGGTCACCCTGGACTGCAGGTTATCTATCCCCTCAGCTACAGCAGCCTACAGCCTCTCTAGGAGAGATGGCCGCGATGCCAGTGCGGCAGTTTAGAGACCGGATGGCGTCCGCACCGGTCATCCCAGTCCACACCATAGCCGCTTCTCCTTTGATGGGCACTCCTGCCGTGGGAGGAACCACAACCACAGCTGCTGCTACCATGACTTCCCCAACTCCGGCGATGAGCCGCCCGGTCAATGTGATCCAACACAACCGCGTCCGATCGGAGCCAGGTCAAATAGTTCTGGCACACGGCCTGCCTGCCACTACAATGTCGCAAATGAGCTCCCCGCGCGGCAGTGGGCAGGACATGGGGTCTTCTGCCGAGCCTATTATCCCAACGCCCGACTTATGTCCTACGCCGAGTACACCACACTCCCCTCATTCCACAGGGCAGAACGGTGGTGTTTGGGGACTGGACCTGAATAAGGAGGAGGGTGTGGAGGTGACGTACCAAGCTGATCATCTGGATCCCGAATATGATGAATTTAGCCGCTTCGCATTTGGATTGGGCAGTGGCAGCCAGCTACCGGAGGCGGATGTGGGTTTTGACGAATTCTTTACATTGGAAGAGTACCCCATCAGTGCTTGATGCGTGTCTCGTTGGTTTCTCTTCTTTCTTTCTGTGACTCTACATACTATATTTTTAGTTTTTGTCTTATTACTCGATCGGTTGGGAGGGATTGAGGCAGGAGTGCTTGTGCATGGGCTGGACTTATATTTGTACAATTTGTACACAAGGAGGGGAGGTGGAGAAGTACAGCAATACCCGAAGACTATGGCGTTGATGGGGTTTGATCTGCGAGCAGGAACGGACATGCGTGATGGATATAGTGATTTATCTACTACTACTACTACTACTTCTGATACTACTACTATTACTACAAAATAATGAGAGACGATGGCCTTACCTATGTTTCCAATCCTTTTTTTTCTTCGGTATCAGACCTCCCAATCTGACTGCAGACTATGCATCCAAACGAAATCGATCAGCATCCAGGACAAGCCCGATCCGTGGAAGAAGCAAGAGTTTTTCTTCTCTGCACGGAATTAGAAAAAAAAGGGTGGGGAAAAGGGCTGGAAGTAAGGGCAAGGCACACACCCACTGCATCCACCCGCAGCGTTACATCGAAGGACGGACAAGCCGCAAACAGCGATCAATCGATCCCTTGCCGATCAAATCTGGAGAAGTCTGGGAGTTAGCAAGCAAGCTGCCAAAAAAAATTTCTTTCACCTTCCTTCCCATTATTCTTTCGCATTGTTCTTGCATCCTATGTCATGGTGGCATATTGCGGGATTTTGCAGAATTTTTGGAGTCGTGTGCAGTTTCTTCAATTGATGGGGCTCTCTCAGAGGGTTAAGTTAGTGGTTGGTTGGGGGGTTTGGAGTTGCAGTCTGTAGTACTAGGTAGTCACAGCTGTATCTGGGATTGTAGATGGTGTGCATACCAAGGGAGAATGATGATTTCGTAAAGGGGTACAGTAGTGCTGAGGAACTACGAGTAACCAAGCTTCTGTCTGCCATGCGAGGTTATCGGGGATAGAGTGCTTATTTTGTGTGTTTGATTTGTTGTCGTCTCTGCTTGTGGACTACATACTGTAAGTAACTACTGGACTATGGTGTGGTGGTGTGGTGTGGGTTGGTGTGGTGTGGTGCTGGAATGTGTGATTGTCGGTCTGGTGGTCTGGTGGTCTGGTGGAGTCTAATCTGGTCCTGATACTGCGAGCTAAATCAACCAGGTAGTCCAATTCTGCCTGTGTAGCAACTTCTGGACCTATAGCTAGGTTCCTCTTGAACGTGCAAGTTGGAAGAAAGTCTTGAGGCCGATCAGGGCGGGCTGGCCAGTGGCCCCATTCCCAAGCTTGTGTGGGGGTGGGTTTGAACTCGGTGGTAACGTTAATAATGGTTCAACTAATCCCTCCATCTCAACTCTAATGACTGATACGTCGATTGATTGGATCCATCGGGGTGGATCGTTGATTTATTTTGGGTTCTGGTCTGTGCTGAGTGCAGGTGTGCGTGCGGCAGTGGGCTAGTAATTACAGGGTTTGTATCTGCATTACCGATTTACTTTACATGTCCTGTCCGATAAGGGCGCCGGCTAATGCACGCAAGCGTCCTCTTGGTCAGTTAGTGGTTAGTTAGCTGGGTTCTGGGCCTGACTATCAACGCACGATGGTTTGATATCTTTGGTAAAAATTTATTGATTTATTGAAACTGAGTTTGAGAGAGACGTTTTTGGGGGGAACAGGGATTTGAAATCTCAACTGATTCATAGCTAGCTGATTCGCTACGAGTGGACTGAAGGGTGTTCGGGATTTAGGGTTTGTCAGGCTTAGCGATCTATTATGGATCCAAATGACAGTTCTCAGTATGTGTAGTAGTTTACTGCTCAGTAGGTAGTCTAGGAACTTACTCATAGTATGGGAAGTGTTCGAGAGCCAGGGAGGGCATTGGCCTGGGGAATTATCTTCCGCTTCGATTTTGTCTTCCTGTTCTGCGTACGTAGTCGGGTGATTGACGGTCTAGAATCACCCAGTCCAGTCCTCCCTCGTCTATACTCTCTCTCGCTTCCTATCTCTACCCCCGAACAATCCCTCCCCCCCTCTCTGTCAGTCTACCTACCTACCTATTCGATCATACCTCGTATACAACCCCCTCTTCTGAACACTCATCCCCGATATTCACCCCGAGCAACACCTAAAAACAAAATTCCCTGACTTCGCCACCACCACCAACACCACCAGCAAACACCGTACTGTACATTGATGTACTGGATAGAATTCACAGACCCCCGCTACCTTACCGTCCCATCCCATTCCATCCCATTCCACATAAGCCTGCCTCTCCGCCCAAACCCCGAACAACCAACCCCAGCCCATCCCTTCCTAACCCACCAAGCTACCTACCGAATATCTGGAGGCGAACTACCTACATTACATGTAGTAACCCAAAATAAAAAGTGGATTTGCCGCCGCCGGCGGGGAGGGGGGAAGGGAAACACGGGAGGAGGTGCAGGAGGAGGATTTATCGATTGATCTTTTCCCACGGATAACCCTGAAACTCTATCATCTGTCTCTTGCTGCTCGCTTGCTCGCTCGCTCAGATTGTCCCAAATATTGAGTAGCCGTAGATGCTCACTCGCTCGTTAGCTAAAAGAGACTTTTGCTCGGGGATGGCCGACAGCTGACTGACTGACTGACTGACTGATTGATTGTTTTGGATGGATGAATGGTTGGATTGATCGATCGATCGATCGTCGTACACTGTCACATGCACATGCACACGCATTGATACTAAGGCTTAGAGGCGAAGGTGCTGAGGTTCTAAGGTACGGTAGGGACTGGAGTCTGACCTATTTTGCCATGGGGACTTTTCGTTCTTGTTCTTGTTCTTCATGTTGTTTGATTACTGCCGATTGCTGTTCGATTGCCGAGGGTGAAGGGATGCGCTGGGATGGGAGGATCCGGGCAGTACTTCTGGTTGCCGCCCCCCCTCCCCACCTCTCCCCTCCCCGGTTCCAGGATACTCTTTCGGAGCTTTGCCGGAGATTTCTAATGGAGTCGAGCTAGCTAGGTACTATACTGTAGGTGTTTATGGATGGCTTGATGGTGAGTGGGAGGCGAATCCCGCTTCCTCGGGTGCCTAAGGGCAAGGACCGATGATTTTCCAGTAACGTATTCTCGGCTACATGCGTTCAATAGAGGTAAATATGACCCAGTTATTCGGGTGGCTATCCGTGTATGTATTGTCACTTGATGATGATTAAGCTGATTGAAAAACAAATGATGAAGTGAAGCCAATGCCTGTCTTGGTTGCATCTGCATCCCGTCGTACTCACCTATACAATCCTCCCACTGAACAGCTCCCGTCCAATCTCCCCACTGCGTCGTACACTTACACTCGAGCTGCTGCTCCGGCGACGTCGACTCCGACTCTCCGCTGGATCGGCCGGACTGAGCCCGCTCGCCCGGGCCTGCAGGTTCAGAATATCCGTCAAACTCACCACCCCCACCAGGCGTCCCGAGAGCCGTGCCCCCGGCAGAGCTGACGCAGGGATCGATGGCACCATGGTTGTCGCGCCGAGGAACGACTGGGGCGGGCTTGGCAGGTGCGCAGAGCTGAAATTCGGGGCCTGTAGGCTCGGATTACTGCCGATCGCGGGGGTCTGCGGCGGAGATTGCGTAGTCGTCGGAAGAGGAATGTGCACGGATGAATGAGATGGGGTCGGGGGCCCTGACGAGGCGGGCGACAGGGGATCGGTGACCCACAGGCTGTATCATGATTCATAGTCAGGCCGGGCACTATCTGGAGCAGATACTACTAAACTTACCGGTGAGACTTGGTCGCAACCACTTTGGCCACGGTATGTGCTAGAGTCGAGGTCGGGTTTACGTGGAACACTGGGAATGAGTCCTTGCCCTCTTCCAGGCCACGTGTAGACAGAATAACGGAAATGAAATGTGTACAGGTGTTGCGCAGTAGTGGGAGTGAGGACGACCGGGTGAGTAGCTATCGAGGTCAGCGACGCTTGTGCTATTCGAGGACAGTGAAACATACCTTAACATCGGTTGTTGAAATGTTGCCCACCACATTAAAATGGTTGTCCACCACGGCGATTGATGAAACCCCCTCGTCATTCATGACCTGAAGGGCTTCGCAGAGCGGCCGGTCCCCACTGCAATGAAAATGTCAGTACGTATCACTCGCATCTGCATCTGACAATGGAACATACTTGATTGAGATGACCTCGCGCGAACCAATTCCCAGCTCATGCAAGGATTGGGGATAGAGCTGGTCAATCACCGGGAAGCTACGTCCGTTCTCCCAGAGAAACTTGACCAACCGGTACTGACTGAAGATGCCCACCACTTCCCTTTCCTTTTGTTCATCGACTACCACAACGCGGTGCACACCTCCCCCGAAAGTCTGCACGGCCGTCATCACGTTGGCCGACGCAGGCAGCGTTGTCAACGGTTCTTTCCTTCCCAAATCCTTCACATCCTTCAGCGGAATCTTGATGCCCTGTTTCGCCTTTCGGGCTAGTTCTTCGTACGATGCCAATAACGTTTCATCGGGTTGCGTCAGTCCTGCCGCCAACAGGAGGTATGCATTGAGATCGGAGTAGTCGAAAGTGCCCACGGCAGACTTCTGGTCAGGCGTTTCTCGAATCAGGAGCACCGGAGCTGCGGTATCGATCAAGATCTATGCGTGTCAGTCTTTGTGATAAGAAAAAAAAAAGAAATAAGAAAAAGACCAATAGAAGTGTTTCCTGGCCGCTTACATTCGTCGCTTCTTCAATCCCGGTATCGACCTCCACGAATTTCAAGTCGTTGGGACTGACAAGCTCGCCAATCTGGATTTCCCGCCAGTCCCGACCGGCGAATGCAGAGTTGACATTGCTTGGAGCCGGAGGATTATCAATGAGGCTCTGAATGGCGGACTGGGTGAGTGACGGTTGTCGTCGAGCCCTCGGAGACCCAGGAGTTCCGCGAAGGCTCTCGCTCATGCTTTGGCGGTGCTGGTGACCGGACGTGTGAGATGAAAGTCGGAGAGATCGGTTGCCCACAGAAGTGGTCCAGGAATCTGTGCTGGAGCGGGGCGATGCGATATTCGATCCACTGGAATCATTCTCCGCCGCCGCATCTACAGGATAGTCGGCCATCGTGGGGTGTGGTCGAAGAGGGGTAAATTAGTAAGGGGAGCTCGGAGGCAGGCGATGCCCAACTTTCGGTTGAGATGCAGTAGGTACTACTAGGTAAGTTACAGTACTCCTGCTGGAGACAGCAACGGAGAAAGCGAATCAGAGATCAGATATCAAAAGAGCCTGTCAACGGGCTATAAGCCAAGACGCACAGTCAGAAAAGAAAGGAAAGGAAATCGGCGTCTGGGGACGATGGAGTCATTGAATCGAGTCACAATCACAAGGCGGGGAACAACTGGCGTCAACCGGTCGGGAGTAGCGCGGGGAGGCGGCGGCTGTCAGCCAATTAGCGTCCTCCCGCTGGCTATGCCAGCGTCATTGTATCTTCAGTCCGACGGAGGCCTGGGGCATCCATGTTATACTTCCATGGACAGTGAGCTCACAGGAAATGAAGCCTTGAAAGCCAAAGAAGTACGGAGTACATGCAGATCATTTGCGCGATCACCAGGCACCCGCACGCTTGCAGCCGTACAGGTACATACGAGCCAGAGAGATCTCATGCGCCTGTCTCCTGCAAGTGACATCATACATCATCCATCACGTGTATCCACTCCAGCTAGAGAAAGTCCTGCAGCATACCCCCAAGATCTTTCAGCTTGCGCACTTTCATTACTGCCCGTTTTGAGCCTGCAGGTCTTTGATCAGAAGTCGTTTTCTGTTTCTTAACAGGCGGTTCGGCATAATCCTTGATGCGCCGAAGACAAATGGGATTATAGCCAACGGCACGATGAGTTTTTTTCGAGGTCGCGCGTAAGACCTTCAGTGTTTTCTGCCCAACTTGGAGAGAGAAGGTAGGGGCATCAACAGGGAAGGTCGACTTCTCTGCCCCATCAATTTCCAGCGTCTTCTGGTAGATGCTCTGCACAGATTTCGGCACTTCGCCCATATCCACAACAGTCCAGCCCTCTAACTCAAACCCAACCGTAGCGCCGGCTGGAATGGCAGGACACCCATTCAGCACCACAAACCGCAGTGCTGGCAAGTCACGGAGGTAACGTAGTGCGACAGATGAGATGTTGGACTGAGATTGTAACATCAGGACCCTCAAATTTGCGAATCCCGCGGAGCTCTGTGCCAACTCACTCCACGACCGCACAACTCGATCATTGAGATCAACCATAGGCGCCTCGCTCTCGTCCTGGATGCCTTCATACTGAAGTGGTGTGGCAATCTCCAGCGCAATGAGATTGGGTATGTTAGCCAAGCCTACGAGATCAGGAACTCGAGCATGTGTGGCAGCCAGAGTTAAGCACGCGCCCCAGCTCAACGAGTCACCTTTGACCAGACTCAAGTAGTCCTGCATCGGCATGAGGGGGCTCTCGACCTTCATGGCACGGTGCGAAGCAATCTTACCGAACTCCTCGGGATATGCTGTTGCGAATAGTTTCCAGGCATATGTAGTCTGTTTGTTGCTTTTGAGCGCAAGGGAGTTAGGATCTCGCAGCTGTTTAAGGAGGATAGGCACCTCTTACCACTGGCCAAGTATATCCCACAGAGACTTTGCGAGCCGCCATGGCACGGAAGCAAACAGCTCGGGTCGAAGATTTCTTTGGTCCGACAGAGCTTGTCTCGTTGCCGCATGCATCAATGAAGGTGCACCACGTGCAACGGGTTGTTTGTCCCATCCTTCAGGCAGGAAAGGCGTCTCATGGACCCAGGCCGCACCCTTGGAAGAGGCCAAGGAAGGCTCCTTAAAAGACTCCAAGTACACCTGACCACTGTTCCGGTCAACAACCTCGTGGATTCTTTTCGGTTTGGGTATCGGCATGCGATCAGAGAGTTTCGAATAAGACGATGCCTTTTTCCGTTTGGGCTGTTGGGGCTCATCGGAGACTTTTTTTCGTGTATAGACGCGTCCAGCACGCGCGTTGTATGTATTCTGGAACACGGTTTGATCAGGCATGGCGGCAATTGCTAGTCTCTGATCTAGAGTATGCTATGATCATATAACCAACATCCTACTAGATTGTAAACTTGCAATATTGATATGGAGACGCGGCAGAGTATAGGCGAGCACGTGTTTGTGTACAACCTAGATTGAGCATGTCAACCACCCAGTAACAAGCTTTATCGTTCCGACATATTGAGAAGAAAGTAGAAACCAAGGCACTCAGTCATTGACTAGTTCGAAATGGGTATTAGATGGCAGGTGAAGTAGCCGACTTGCCTTGTTCCTGAGGAGCCTTAGTATGGGACGGTGCAAAGTCTTGTCCCCAAGAAAGGAAGGGAAGGCCAAATCAAATTACCCAAACAGGTAACCCCACTGACCCGAACCGCGCCGCGTCTCTGTCGGAGCTTACTGTACAGTACATACTCCAGCTGTAGGTACCGTACTTTATTCTACCTACCCAGTACTCCCTCCGCATCATCTTTCCTCTCTGACTTCATTCCTCCTCGAACAGTCCGAGGTCAGACTTGTGTTGTTCCTATTTGGTGGGCTATACACGATAGCACTGCCTCATAATGTTTCAGGCGGAGACTGAATCCCTGTTATCCCGTACCTTACTGTGACTGCAACCCTGCAACGAACGACTCACAAAGCAACGAAACAGTCATGGAAGGCAACGTTCATCGCATCTCTAGTTCGCCGGCATGCATGGTGGCGATGTTGCCAAACCTGCGTACTGCGTAACTCAGCGGAGACACAATAGAGCGCTAAGTACGATGTCTTACTAAATCTATTCTTGGGGGCAGCGATCCGACATCCAACGGGCCGGCATCCCTTACATGCCCAGTGACCAAGATTGACCTCTACTCCAGTTCCTGCACATTCCCTGCATCTGACCGGGGCAAATGGCCAGTTCATTGGCACGCAAGAGAAGATCGTCAGCGGTCAGCCGCTGAGCCTCGAGCTCTGATAGGGTCACGAGCCCTTGCAGGCTGACTCGGGCGCCAAGCGGCAATTTAGTTGTATCGATGCAGTCGAAGCGCCTTTTATGTGTGGTTCTCGCGACCAGGAACCCCACACGATACCCTCAGCCTTATGGCCTACTCTTCTGACTGACTGACCCAAAAATGACTCAGGTTGGCTTACCTGACTTGGCCAAGGGCTTCACTGCCTTGTGGCTTGGGATATGGCCCGTCTAGTCTTCCAGATCAGGCGCACTCTGTGGCCCTATATATCAGGACACCGTCCTGAGCGATACTTTACATTCAAAACTGATCATTCGTGCTTGGGAGTACAACCTACACTGCTACATTCCATCTGTCAAGTTTAGCGATAATAAACCTATCTCTTATTTATAGTTGACCCTCAAGAGAGTCACCTCGCATTTAAGATGAGCTCCGACTCACACTCCAAACCCACTTCAGTACTTCAGCGAGTGGCCAAGGTGGCTCATGCGTGGAAACGGGATTCAGCCATGTTGCAATTCTTAGTATCCTTTCTGGCAAAGCCTTCGCCTGCAAAACAAATGGCAAATGAACGCGAACATACCGTCTGGCTGTTCGACAACACAGCATACCAGGCACCGATATCTGGCTCAACCGAGCTCAACCTATGGCGGGCAGAAGTTGTTGCTTGTGTATTCCAGAGAGACAGCAGGAAGGACCTCAGTAAACTCGTCGCCATGGTTGCAGACCTCATCGGACTGGACGGGGAGATTGGCACAGATAAAGAGACTCGTCATCGGATAGCGGAGCGACTTCAGCCATTTCTATATCACACAACACCTGCGCACTTGATGATGTTGGAAACACCCTTGCCCAACAATGCGACCCAAATTCATCAGCTTGGGCCTACGGATGGTAGCGGCATTATCAGCCAAACGGTGGGAGTTAACAGTCGCCACATTACAGACGGTACGAAACTACGCTCGTACCTTCGCGGCTGGGCAAGCGAGGTGACGATGAGCACGACGTACGCCAGTGCGGAGGGTTGGCTTGTCATTTCCGACATTGACGATACCATCAAGTACACCAAGACCTCCGAGTCAACCGGTATCCTTCGCACAACTTTCGTGGAGGAGCCCAGGCCGACCGTTGGAATGCCTCAGCTTTATGCCAGGCTTCAATATGACCTTACGCCTACATGGTTTTACCTTTCCGCTTCTCCATACAACCTGTATCCGTTCTTGCACGGCTTCATTCACACCTATTTCAACCCGGGAACCCTGATCCTCCGTGATACATCTTGGCTAGATGTGAGCGAGCTGGTTAAATCGTTCACTGTCAACACTATGGAATACAAGGTGGACCGTGCAGAAAAAATTCATGGCTGGTTCCCCCAGCGAAAGGTGCTTTGCATTGGCGACTCGACTCAGAAGGATCCAGAGGCCTATGCTGAACTCTACAAAAGACATCCGGATTGGATTCAGGCAATCTGGATCAGAAAGGTCACTGATGTTCCCCATTTGGACGAGCAGAATTCGCCGAAGAGATTTGAAGCTGCATTTGACGGTGTGCCCGACCATAAATGGAAGGTCTTCGAGGATCCTGCGGAGGTAGAGCACCTTGTGGATGAGCTGGGAATAAGCCATAAAATGCTCGGGCCTCTCGAGGAAATCTCAACCGATACTGAACGATCGGGCGATTCTGTGATGTCGAATGAACTTCGAATTAGATGTTGACATCACAAAGGTTGCTGATATAAGCGTGTTTATACTCGGGGTTACGTCAATGGTAGACTGTCACCAACAACGTCAAGACCCGCGCTTGTGGCTGCAGCGGTCCATCCTTAAAATCTGCGATCGGAACAAACCCCGCTCGATCTACGCCTTGTCATTCGGCGAAACCACGGAATAGTGTTGCTTCTCATTCTCCTATATCCTGTTGGCTGACTGCTTGCGTCGGCCTCATTGAGCATATTTCGCCGCTGCATCACATCATAACCTTTCCAGCCCGGCTGTTACCGTTTAGCTAGAGAACCGCAAATCGACCACAATGAATGAGCAAACAACAGTGCCATCTACGATGAGAGCACTATACTATCGACCAGCGTCAACTGCTATCACCGACCTCACTTCTCTGGATGCTCCCAGGGTAGACTCTTGCGTCGAGTTCGATTCTGGATTCCAGACGCCAATGCCATCTGGGAATGAATACCTGATCAAGGTTAAAACCGCAGCTTTCTCCCACGATGAGCTACGACTAGCTACCATCGTGAACCCGTCTAAATCCATTCCTCAGATTCCTCTGCATTGCTTCTGTGGTACAGTTGCTGATACGCCCAAGCATGACTACCGGAATCCAGGCGGTCCGAAATTCGAGGTTGGCGACGTCGTTTTTGGCCTGGTCAACTACACCCGTGACGGTGCCGCGGCCGATTACGTCGTCGCTTCAGAGGATGAGATCGCTTTGAAACCCAACAATATCAGTGCTGCGGAGGCAGCCGCAATTCCTCTGCCTGCTCTCACAGCATGG